ATCATACTCAGCAGCATCATCCTGAGCATTAGCCTCAGCATCATCAGCATCATCATCAGCATCGTCAGCATCACCATGAGCATCAGCAGCATCATCATCAGCATCATCATCAGCATCATCATCAGGAGCGGCATCATCATCAGCATCGACACAATCATCATCAGAAGCAGCAACATCAGCATCATCATCAGCTGCAGCTTCATCATCAGCATCAGCATATCCATCATCATCATCATCATCAGCAGCAGCATCATCATCATCATCATCATCATCATCATCATCATCATCATCATCATCATCATCATCATCATCATCATCATCATCATCATCATCATCATCATCAGCTTCATACTAATCCTCATCCTCATCCTCATCATCCTCATCCTCGTCCTCCTCATCCCTCCTCCTATCCTGCTCCTCCTCATCCTCCTCCTCCTACTCCTACTCCTCCTCCTTCTCCTCCTCCTCCTCCTCCACTTCCTCATCCTCCTCCGCCTCCTTCTCCTCCTCCTCCCTCCTTGTCCTCCCCCTCCTCCTGGCTACGAGTTGGGAACATCCCCAAGCTGAGGGCGTGCACCCGTAGATGGATCATTCAAACCCGAAGGACCGTCTAATGGAGGTCCGCCGGCTTATAGACCTGGAACCTTGGTCAGTGATGCTCCTCCTCATCCTGCTCACCCTCTTCGACCTCAGCATCCCCCGCTTTCGTCCTCCTCCTCCTCCGCCTCCCCCTCCTTTTCTCCTCCTCCTTCTCCTCCTCCTCCTCCTCCTCCTCCTCCTCCTCCTCCACGCCATTGTCCTCCGCCTGATCTTCCTCATCCTCCTGGCTGCTCATTACAATAATAAAACGGTGTCATCAGCAACAGCAGTACCGACACCAGCATCATCAAATTAATCATCCTTTTCCACACTCCCGCAATCCAAGGAGGGGATGCTGGCGCTGATAGAGCCAAAAACGCAATGTGACTGCCAGCAGCAGCATCCGACTGACCCCTCAGTAGAGCTGAAGCCATCGAATTGCGCCAGCAAGAAGAGCGTGTTCCTACATCTTTTCTCACACTTACCTCCTCGCCGATCTCCTCCTCATCATCCTCCTCCTGCTCTACCTCCTCCTCTTCCTCCTCCTTTTCCTCCTCTCTCATCCTCCTCCTCCTCCTCCTCCTCCTCCTTCCTCCTCATCCTCGTCTCCTCGCCCTGCTCCCCCTCCTCCTCCTCCTCCTCCTCCACCTCCTCCTCCTCCTCCCCATGTTCATTATCCACCTCTTATTTCCTCCTCCTCCTCCTCCTCCTCCTCCTCCTCCTCCTCTCTTCCTCTCCTCTCCTCCTCCTCCTCCTCCTCCTCCTCCTCCTCCTCCTCCCACCTCCTCTCTCCTCCACTTCCTCCTCCTCCTCCCCTCCTCCTCCTCCTCCACCTCCTCATTCCCCTCCACCTCCTCCTCCTCCTCCTCCTCCTCCTCCTCCTCCACCTCCTCACCATCACCTCCTCCTCCTCCTCCTCCTCATCCTCCTCCTCCTCCTCCTCCACCTGGTCCTCCTCCTTTTCGTCCTCATCCTCCTCAGCCTCAATTCTTCTCCTTCTCCTTCCTCCCCCTCCAACCCCTGCATGCTCCTCCTCCTTCTCCTCCTCCTCCTCCTCCTCCTCCTCATCATCATCATCATCATCATCATCATCATCATCTCATCATCATCATCATCATCATCATCATCATCATAATCAGCATCATCATCATCAGCATCCTCATCAGCATCATACCGTCATCATCATCAGCAGCATCATCATCAGCATCATCATCAGCATCAGCAGCATCATCATCCACATCATCACCATCATCATCACCATCACCATCATCATCATCATCATCATCATCATCATCATCCTCATCATCACCATCATCATCATCATCATCATCATTATCATCATCATCAGCATCATCATCATCATCATCAGCATCATCATCATCCTCAGTATCAGATTCATCACCGTCATCATCATGATCATCATCCTAATGAGCATCATCACCACCACCACCATCATCATCATCATCATCAGCATCATCAGCATCATCGTCACTACCATATATCATCATCCTCATCAGCAGCAGCATCATCACCACCACCAACATCATCATCAGCAGCATCACCATCATCATCATCATCATCATCATCAACAACATCAGCAGCCTCATCATCATCATCATCATCAGCAGCAGCAGCATCATTCCCGTCATCATCAGCATCATCATCAGCGTCATCATCAGCATGACCGTCAGCAGCTTCATCGTCATCAACATCATCAGCACATCATCATCAGCAGCAGCATCATCATCAGCATCAGCATCACCACCACCAGTATCATCATCATCAGTATCATCATCATCAGCATCATCATCATCATCATCATCAGCATCATCATCATCATCATCATCATCATCATCATCATCATCATCATCATCCCCCCCAACCTCCTACATACCCACTCCCTGCATGCTCCAATTCATGATCCTGATCTTTCTGGCCCTCTTCGTTTTCCCAAATCAAAAAGAAGTCGTTGAACCAAAATGTGCCGTCAAGAAAGGGCAAGTGATTCAAGGGAACGCTGACGGACGTTCGCCGTGCGCGTCAGGATTGGCGCCTCAGGCGAAGCAGCAAAATCCACCAGCCCTCTAGGGCGGCCGATGGCGTAGGGATGGTTCATCGGCTAAGTCTGCAGCCGGCCTTTTTACTTCCTGCGTGGGGGGGGGGGGGGGGCACCCCTCCCTTTTGTCCCCTCCCTGGACTCCAACTGCCAGCGGCCCAGACGGTCTCAAGGCCGCCCCTAAGCCCTGAAAACGCCGATGAGACAAAAACGCCTAGGCATGATGGAACACATAACTGAAGGGGCCCTGGGACACACAAATAAATACACATAAATAAAAGGATTCCCCATATTTTCCTATATTTTCTGGGTTTCTGTCTTCCCCCCCACTGCCCATATTTTCCTTTTTTCTGGGGAATCGACGATTAATTGTGTCTGTGTGTTTTTTTCTCCTCTTGAATAACTTGGTGATGGATTGGGGGGCCGACGTCCCCAGGCAAAGGTGACATTCCAGCTGCCACACTCAGTGTTCCCAAAAAGCCCCCAAGACGGGGGCCACAGGGCCCCCAAGGGCCCCTCCAGCCGCCTTCCTGTTCAAGTTGAACGTTGAGAGGGAAATTGCGCCGCAGGCGCCCTGCCCATGCTGATGTCGCTGACTCATTTGACCGGGCCCAGGGACACACCAATAAATATACACAGATCCCAAGATCCCCTATTTTTTCTTACACTTTCTGGATTGCCGTCTCCATCCATATTTCCCCATAGTTTGCTGGGCATCGGCGATGAATTCTGTCTGTGTGTTTTTTCTCCCCTCCTGATCGCTCCAATGTCGATCGCATCCGCGAGCGCCCTCAAAGCGGGCCGTCGCCACAAGAGGGGGCAGACCTTGGCAAACTTGCTGTATTACAAGTCTGGCCTGTGGTAGCGAACCACGTGCGCCGCGTATCGACTGGGCCGTCGCGAGAGGCGCAGGATGAGCAGCAAACGAAGGGACGGCCGAGAATGCCCCCAAGACGCTCCCACAGGGGGGACGTGGTCACCGGCGAGGGCAGGGCGAAGCGTCGAGGATTAATTTGGATAGAACCTGTGTGCACGTAGACTTACATACGCAGTTGCATGTGTATATATAGTGTGTGGAGCGGGCGCGCTCATCCCGGAACGCTTTCAGCCGTGAGTGCCCTCCTCCTCCCTCCCGCCCCCTGCGGCCGCTTCCCCCCCCCCCCCCCCCACCAGGCGCCCTCTCCTGCAGCTGGACAGGCAACTTAGTCGCGCTTCCCCGGCAGCTCGAGCGCCCATGCGCGGATTGCCCCTGCCGTGCTGCAGCGCAGAAAAGTGCGTAGGAGGAGGAGGAGGAGGAGGAGGAGGAGGAGGAGGAGGAGAAGGAAGAGGAGGAGGAGGAGGAGGAGGAGGAGGAGGAGGAGGAGGAGGAGAAGGAGAAGGAGGAGGTGAGTGAAAGGGATGTCACTTAATGCGGGGCCCCCCGAGGTCTGAACCCCTTCCTCTGGGCCGGCTCTGCGTCCCGAGTCGTGTATTTTGACTGCCCCCGGGCCCGGCGAAGGCCCCCGGAGGCCGAAGCGTGAGAAAACCCTTCGTCTCGAGTTTCTGGAGACGCGTTGTAACCATGAACCCACGAGAATAAACCCCCAGAGGTGATAAAGTTCGGGGTTTTCGGGGAGATAACAAAAGTTGCCCGCCAGAGCCAGCATGAAGAGATATCAAGAGGAAAAAGCCAAAGATATCTTGAGGAAAAAGCCGAAACTTGAGAAAACCTTCGTCTCGAGTTTCTCGAGACGTTGTAGGTCTGGGAATGACGGGAAGGAGGGAGGAGGAAGGAGAGGGACTAGCATGAGACGGAGCCCAGGAAGCGGTCAGGCACTCCAATGGATCTGCCGTGCTCTCCCGCCAGGGAGTTCATGATGCTGGGCCACGCACCTGCATTCACGCCCGCATCGCCGCGCTCCTCCTGCGCCTCATCTTCTCCAAAATCAAAAACCAACACCAACCATGTGTTTTCCTTCTCCTGCTGATACGATTCCTTCCGATGTATAAGCGAGCCTACTTCTCTCCACCTCATCTTTGCCCTGGTCCCCTCCTACTCAGCCTTATCATTATTTTCTCCATCCTTCTCATACTCCTGCCGCTCCTGGTCCTTCTCAGCTCCGCATGCGAACCTCTCTGAATAAGTATCCTCTTCCTCCTCTTCCTGCTCCGCCCCCTCCTCCTGCTCCTTCTCCTTCTCTTCCTCCTGCTCCTCCTTCTTTCCTCCTCCTTCTCCTCCTCCGCCTCCTCCTCCTCTCTTCCACCCCATTCCCCCCTCCTCCTCCTCCTCCTCCTCCTCCTCCTCCGCCTCCTCCTCATTTCCACTCATTCCCTCGTTCTCTTTCTCTCTCCTCCACCCCAAATGCCCCCCGTCTCCACCCCTGGCCTGGGGGTTCGTGATGCCAGCCCACGCGGCTGCACTGGCTCCCGCGTCGCCGCACACATGCCCGGGCTGGATTGCGACAAGGGAGTCGGAGGCGGTGAAGCCCGTGCCTGCCAGAAGGCCAGCGTTGGAAGTGAGGGCGATGCCGAGTGTGCGTCCTCCTCCTCCTCCTCCTCCTCCTCCTCCTCCTCCTCCTCCTCCTCCTCCTCCTCCTCCCTCCTCCTCCTCCTCCTCCTCCTCCTCCTCCTCCTCCTCCTCCTCCTCCTCCTACTGGTCCTCCTCCTGGTCCTACTACTCCTCTCCTCCTCCTCGTCTTCCTCCTCATTTTCATCCTTCTCCTCCTCCGCCTCCTCCTCCTCTCCTCCTCCTCCTCCTCCTCCTCCTCCTCCTCCTCCTCCTCCTCCTCCTCCTCCTCCTCCTCCTCCTTATCAGCAGCAGCATCATCAACATCAACATCATCATCAGCATCATTAGCAGCAGCATTTTCATCCTCATCATCATCGTCAGCATCAGAGTGTCATCAGCATCAGAATCAGCATCAGCATCGTCATCATCAGCAGCATCAGTATCATCAGTATCATCATCAGCAGCATCATCATCATCATCATCAGCAGCAGCAACAGCATCCTCGTTCTCCCTCCCGCCCTCCCGCCCTCCTCCACCATCCCTCCGTCTTCCTAACTCACTCCTCCTCCTCCTCCTTCTCCTCCTCCTCCTTCTCCTCCTATTACTCCTCCTCCTTCTCCTCCTCCTCCTCCTCCTCGTCCGTTTCCTCGTCGTCCTTCGCCTCATCCTTCTCATCATCATCATCATCATCATCATCATCATCATCATCATCATCATCATCATCATCATCATCATCATCATCATCATCATCATCATCATCATCATCATCATCATCATCATCATCATCATCATCATCATCATCATCATCATCATCATCATCATCCATCCTCCTCCTCCTCGTCCTCCTCCTCCTCTTCCTCCTCCTCATCTTCTTCCTCCTCCTCCTCCTCCTCAACAACACTCCCTCCTGCCGCTCAGCCACCTGCTCCCGCTCCTCCTCCGCCTTCTCCTCCTGTTCGGCCTCCTCGTCCTTCTCCTCCTCCTCATCCTCCTCCTCCTCCTCCTCATCATCATCATCAGCATCATCATCATCATCATCATCATCATCATCATCATCATCATCAGCATCATCATCATCCTTCTTCCGCATCCTCGTCCTCGTCCTAATCCTCATCCTCATCCTACATATCTGCTCCTTATCAACAACTCTTCCCAGTCGCACCCCCAGGCGTGTCCGTAGACTGGGTGGGCATGTATCCAGAGACTTCCGCACCACTTAGAATTCTGTAGCTTGAAAAATCCACTAGCCTTTGGGGCGTAGGTGGTCTAACGAGTTTTCTCCTCGTCCAAAGCGCTCTTCCCTCCGGGGAGGGGTACCCTCCCCCCTCCCCTCGCTGAGGTTGTTTGGGCGGGGGGCGCGGGATGGCAGAGGGTCCGTTTTCGCCCAAGATGGCTCCAAGAGGGCCTCCGATACTCCAAGATTGCCTGCATGGCGGATCCAGATAGATAAACGAAGATGATCAAATATTGATTCCGACACATCTCCAAGAGGCCCGACGAAGGCCACAAAACAGTTCCAAGTGTTCTCGGAGCCCTCTCGGGATCCCCCCCCAAGAGGGGAAACTCGTTCATCAACTGCAAGACAATCAATGAGTATTACATTCTCGCCTTTTCGCTTGCGATGCGCTTCTGAGGCCTCAAGCTTGCCCCAAGATGGCCCAAGAGGGCCCAGGGGGGGCCAAGATGCCCCCAGGCGGCTCCAAGAGCGCTCAAGAGCGCCCCAAGAAGGGCCCAAGAGAGCCCCAAGAGACGATTTGGAGCTCTGCGGGCCCCAGAAGAGGGTCCCTAGATAAAGGCCCCCCCTGATTTCATCCGATAAGGATACCAGATGTCCACAAGAGGCCTCAACAGGGCTCTCAAGAGGACCCCAAGAGAGCCCCAAGAGGGAGGGCCCCAAGAGGGACCCAAGACGGCCCCAAGAGCGCCCCCGAAGAGCGTCCCACGAGGGCCCCAAGAGGCGGTGTGCATCCTTCTCCTACTACTGCTCCCCTCGCCACCCCCCGCGGGCCTCAAAGATGGCCCGAAGAGGCCCTCCAGGGCCACCCCCTTGCTCCCAGAGATCTCTCTGTTCATCCTGGGTTACCCCCTTTGTTTCACGATTGGTATCTCTTCCCCCCTTTTCCCGTGGGCTCTCATGGCCAGGGCTTCGCAACGGGCTGGGTGGGGTACGCGACATGGCAAGACTGGTAATCGCTTCAAGGATGGCGGGGGGTCAGAATGTGGTTCTCGCCTCCGCGCCGCGCAGAGTCATCCTTAAGCTTGCAACAGTCTCAAGGATTTGCAAGATTTTCAGGAGCGTCAGGACGCAACGGTCACGTAGATTCGCGGTGTTAAAGTTTCCCAGGAATGGCGCTCTGGTGCGATGCAGGACCGTCAGGACGCAACAGCTCGCCTTCTGGCCCTGGCAAGGCATCTCTCTCCCGTCGGGAAGATCTTGCAGCGACTAGTGGAGAGGGCACTTGCAGGGAAGGCTTCTCGCCATATCGTGGATGAGTCTTTTTTTCGACTCAGCATGCATTGAAGACTGCAAGCTCGTCCTTTCGCCATCACTAGAGAGGTGAGCGGCACCCACAAAGGATGGGGCCTGAGACGAAGCCCAGCGGCCCCACGAGCGGTCCTGGAGGGCACGGCCACGGACGAGGCGCCGACACCCAGGTGCAGCGCTCACACTCCGCACCAGCGGAGGGGAGGAGGAAAGCCCCTGCCTCGACCCAACATCGTTGATGATGATGATGATGAGGAGGAGGAGGAGGAGGAGGAGGAGGAGGAGGAGGAGGAGGAGGAGGAGGAGGAGGAGGAGGAGGTAGGAGGAGGAGGAGGAGGAGGAGGAGGAGGAGGAGGAGGAGGGAGGAGGAGGAGGAGAGGAGGAGACCATCCTGACCCAGGCGCCACCGGGGCACAGCAGGGCCCCCCGGCGCGGGCCCGGCCGGCTCTTCGTGTAGCGTCCTCTCTGCACGGCCCTCGACGCGCGGCCCTGGCGCCGGGCGCCTCGCAGCTGCGCTTCCGCGGCCACCCCACGTGTGCCCACCGGCCCAGGCGAGCCCAGCATCGGATATCGATAAAGGTCGGCTCGGCGATCGGCACGACTCGGATCGGCAGGGAACTCGGCAGCCCACCCCGCGCCACCCCGTGCCCTCCGGGCCACCCCGTGCCACCCGGTTCTCCGGCCCAGGCGAGCCCAGCATCGGATATCGGTAAAAGTCGGCTCGGCGATCGACACGCATCGGATCGGCAGAAAGCTCGGCAGCCGAGACGGGAGAAGTCGAATCGGTAGGAATATCGGCAGGCTAAAACAGGCCTCCACCGGGGAATCGGCATCCAAATCGGAATCCGAAGTCGAATCGAATCGGAATCGGAGGCCATCGAAATCGAACCGAAGCAAATCGGAGGAATCGAAACGAGCCCTGCCGGCCCCCGCGCCCTCCAGCAGAGCGCCTCTGCTCAGGAGAGAGGCGGCGCGCACGGCCGCCGTGGCCGCGGTGCACGGTCCCACTCCCACGGGCCAGGTTTCGGTCGGGCATGTCCTCCTGCAGGCGGATGTTGGAAAAAAAAGTCAACAAGTACCGAAAACAAGCAAAGAGTAGTCGAAAAATCGCACCCTGACTATTTTTCTGACTCTTTCTGAATCTTCCTTCTGTAGAGGGACCTGCCCGACTCGAGGCCAAGTGCCCGGCGTGTGGAGGTGCCCCGGGCGGGCGGGGCGCTGCCCCGGGAGAGAGCGTCGTGCGCGGGGCCGCGGCGGTGGGGCGTCAGGGTGCTGCCGTTATGTCGGGCATGTCACCCTACAGGGGGATTTTCGACGAAAAATTTAAAATACTCGAACCCTACCCCAAAAAGGTCAAACAATACTCAAAAAATAGTCCCCGGACAATTTTTGGACTATTTTTTGATTATCTTGGGGGTATTCTTTATTTTTCGTCGAAAATCCCCCTGTAGGGGGACAGGCCCGACTTAATGCTGCCACCCCTGCGACGTGGCGCGCCGCCCTGCGGAGCAGAGGACACCGGCGCCCCGCGCGGCGTGCAGGCAGGGCCTTTCGAGTAGGAGCCCGACCTCAAGAAGCCTTCCACGAGAAGCCCAACCCTGAGACCCCAGGACGTCCACTGCTTTCTGTGCATCTTCTTAGGGTGGAGGGCTCAGGGTGAAATATCCAGATGGGTTGTTTTGCACCTCGAGACTGCATCCGCTCGTGGTTCACCCTTTGCAGCTTCAGCCTCGAGAATCCATCGAAACGGCATTTCAGATTTCACCCTCTGCCCTCCACCCAAAGAAAATGCTCGAGCTTTTGGTGTGGGAACGTCACGCTTCCCATTGCAAAACCATCGAAACCCCAACCCAGGGCACCCTGTAATTAGGCAAGCAGGGTGTTTCTCGGCATGGGCCCCCACCGCAGAGGTTGGCGGGAAGCCGCGCACCCAGAGGGAGACGACCTCACCGAGCGGGTCATGGTAGCACTCAGTCCGGGGCGTGCAATGGCGCGTCGAGCATTATGTTTTTCCCATCGCACTTAAGGACCACGTCCCAGAAAAAAGTTCGAGCACCAGGAAAAGTGTCGAAAGAGTGTCGGACGAGTGCCCCCCAGGGCCCGACACGTGAAAACCCTCGAGTTTCGGCACTTTTCTGACGCTCGACATTCTTCCTGGCGATCAGAGCTCAAGTGGGTGGGAACATCACAAGTCGAGCACATCCTTGGACGAGGACTCAAATGCCGGCAGGGGCCTGCGTCGCCTCGTCGCCCAGGACGAGGCGGCCCACCACAAGTGCTGCCCTCCGAGCCAGCTGGTGCCCGCCGGGCGTGGTGCCCTCGGGGCCGGATGCCGACGCACACGCTCGAGCTCGTCGGCGACGCCCTGTGCTTCCGGGCAGAAGCAAACGGCACGAAAATGGGTCAATACAGTCGGGCTCGATTGGCGTGGACGCGCGAGGGGGCACGAGACCCTTCCGGGGGCCACGCTGCCGGGTAAGTACAGGAGGCACGGGTCGCAAGACGCAGGGCACGAGGGTGCAGTACGGGCGCGGCCGCAAGAAGCCCTCGCAAGAAACCCAGCCCTGAGAACCCGTGCGCGAGGTGCACCTGAGGGGAAACCTGGAGCACCCTGGACGCAGCAGCTCCTGCAGCGGCTGCGGGAAGTCGCCGCGCGGCGCGAGGAGAGAAGAAACCCAGGGCACCCTGAAGAAACTCAGATGGTTTCTTCATGGGCGCCCCCCACTGTACCCTTGATCTGGCAGGGTCGGCCTACTAGACTTATGTCGGGCGTGTCCACCTACAGGGGGATCTTCGACGATAAATATATATATATATATATATATAATGCCCCAAAAAGGGCAAAAAGTATTCCAAAAATAGTCCCCTGACTAGTTTTGGACTATTTCTGGACTATGTTTGGGGTATTTGTCATTCTTCGTCGAAAATCCCCCTGTAGGGGGACGGGCCCGACCTAATACCAGTCCAGCCCGCCTGCATCAGCGGGGCCGAGGTGGCACACGGCAGCACGCCACCGACGACGACGAGGAAGGCTCGGGCTGGCAGCGCCACGGAGCCCGGGCCCTCGCGCCCCGCGCGAGCGCAGCAGGCCCGAGCGTTTTTGGGGGAGGCCAGACGCACGGTATCCTCCTCCTCCTCCTCCTCCTCCTCCTCCTCCTCCTCCTCCTCCTCCTCCTCCTCCTCCTCCGCACTCACCACCACCACCACCATCCTCTTCCTCCTCCTCCTCCTCCTCATCATCATCATCACCATCGTCATCATCAGCAGCAGCATCATCATCAGCATCATCAGCATCATCACCATCATCAGCATGAACATCAGTCAGCATCACCACCATCACCCACTACCACCGCCCGCCATCATCATCATAATCATCAACAACAACAACATCATGATCATGATCATGATCATCAACATCAACAGCGTCATCAGCATCATCATGCGAATCAGCATCATCATCATCATCAGCAGCAGCAGCAGCAGCATCATCGTTACCATCATCATCAGCAGCATCATCAGCAGCATCATCAGCATCGTCATCGTCATCAGTACCATCATCATCATCTTCCTCGTCAACATCGCCACCACCACCATCAGTATTATCCTCCGTACTCTCATCCTCCCCTCCACCAACCTCCACCAACCTCGGAGTTGTTCATGTCCACCAACCCTCGAAGTTGATTGTGTTCACCAACAGCTACACGACTGGGGCCCAAGCCGTCCCACACATAGAAACAACCCGCCTCGGCGCCGCGCACACGCGTCATAAAACATCCGCCGGGCTAACGGACAGAGCAAAGGTGGCTTGGGGAAATGCGGCTCTCGCCCTGGCGCTGCGCACACACACACACACACACACACACACACACACACACACACACACACACACACACACACACACACACACACACACACACACACACACACACACACACACACACACACACACACACACACACACACACACACACACACACACACACACACACACACGCACACACACACACACACAGACACACACACACACACACACATGCCTTAAGATGGAGCACGAGTGGCTTTGAACATGCGGCCTCTCGCGGTGGAGGGCGGGCCCCTCTCGAAGCACGGAGACCCCTCGCGGTGCACACCGCGGAGCGCGAAGGACTGTACTACCTCTCCGCACACTCTGTAGCCGGACGGAGCGACGGTGCCACGCCGACGCGGGCGGAGGGCAGGTCCTTCTGCAGACACGGAGCCCTCGCGGAGCACGCCGCGGGACGCGAACGGCTCTGCCTCCCCGCACGCTCCGGAAGTGGACGGCGCGAAGAGGCAGCCTTGAAAGGCACGGTGCCTCTCGCCCGAGGGGCAGGCCCGAGGCGCGCTCGTCTGCCAAGAGGGGCGGTTCCCGCAGCTTTAAAGGGGCCCCAGGACACACAAAGAAATACACACAAATAAATGGATTCCCCAAATTTTCTCATATTTTCCGGGTTTCTGTCTTCCCCCCCATTGCCCATATTTTCCCATATTTTCCTGGGGGTCGACGATCAATTGCGTCTGTGTTTTTTTCCCCTCCTGAAGTTTGGCAAGCGCGCCTGCGCGGACCCATGTGGGGAGCGGGGGCGGAAGGGTGCAGGGAAAGGGGCCCCTGGACAAACAAACAGACAGGTGAGCACAAATCCCAGGATGGCCCATGGTTGAGCAAGTACGCCTGCATGGACGGATGCGTGGAGTGGGGACGGGAGGGTGCAGCTAAAGGGGCCCACGGACACACACAAATAGATAGACACGAATCCCAGGATCGCCCATATATTTTCTCATATTTTCTGGGTCCTCGTCTTCCCCCCACTTCCCAGATGTTCCCATATCTGTGTGCTTTTGTCCCCCTCCTGACTAGGGCAACACCGTTGATGCATCTGCCGGCTGCACTCAAGGGGTGGCCCTGGGCAAGAGCAGCCTTTGGTGCGCGGCCTTCCTGGGGGCCGCGGGGAGGCCAGCCCACGCAAACGCGCAAGAGAGAGACGCCACCGCCGACCCGCGCTCGGCGATCGGGGCCGCCCCCCGTGGGCCCGCACCAGAGGGTCCCTCCGGCGAGGGGCCACACTTACGAGTAGTCGAATCGTGCTCCGGGAAGGGGACCAAAAAGTGGAACCCCTTCGTCGTCGGCCCCGTATTCGCCCCCCCCCCCCCCCCCCCCTTCCCCCCCCTTTCAAAGCTGGGTTCGGCCTCTCGGAAGCCCTGGGGGGTCCACTTTCTTTTGTCCTCTCGCGCCTGTGCTGCAACATGCTTGAGGCCAACTTTGAAATTGGGGGGAGGGGGGGGGGCGCGGTGTCAAGGGTTCCACTTTGTTGTCCATCTACGCTCCTCCCCACGCCCTCGCTTTGTGTATGCCTCGTGTTGAGCCCGTGGCGCCTGAGCGCTCTTCAGCTCGGAGGTCGAGAGAGCACCGCGGTCGGCGGGTCCTGGCAGACAGCGGGGAGCCGATGGGGCTGCAGAGGGCCCGGGCTGGCCTTGGGCCCCCCCTCGACGCTCAGACGCGCCGCCATCCCCCGTTGCGGGAGGGGGGAGAAACCACAGACAGTTTTTTGATTCGCGGGTCAAGAGCGCACCTCTTCCGGTCGAAGCTAAGCGGGCCGCGCGAAGCTTGAATTAACAAAGAGGGGGAGACAGAAGGAGCGCGGCCTCACGGCAAGGCCAGGAGGAGGCAAGAGAAACCACAGACAGTCAAGGCGCTCATATATTAAAAGGACCGCGCTTGCGCTCAGGAGAGGCCCTGGGTTCCCCTGCCACTCCTGAGCTCCCGCCCAGAAGCCTATACTCGTGGCCGAAAAGCGCGCCGTGGCCAGGAAAGAGCCCCATTTCGCTCCCTGCCCCGCGCCCCATGGCGGCAGCACGGGGGCTATAAAAAAAGCTCCGCGCCCTGGCATAGGGGGCCACATGCGAACCCTACCCCTGCCCCCCACGATTTCTGAGGGGGGGGGGTCACTTCGTTCGGGAGCTCCCGAGCGAAGTGAACCCCACCCTCTCCCTCAGAAATCTTGGGGGGTAGGGGTAGGGTTCGCATGTGGCCCCCTTTCTGGCAGGGAGAGGCCGGCGGGAAGGCCGCGCCTGTGACCTCCACGGCGCAGGCGGAGGTGAGGAAGCACCGCGGGTTCTGGTAGCCGGACTCGCAGAAGTCCGCGGCCACCGGGTCCGGCGCCAGCTCCCCTCGGGGGCCGCGGCCGGGAGGGGGGAGAGAAGAGCATGGATCGGCCGGGATGGCAAGAAAGGGCATACAGTCGGGGCGTTGACCTAAGGAACCCTAAATAAGGAACGAGGCCCCTTTTTTCCAGAAGTTGAACTTCGATTTCCTATCGAAAACATAAGGGAAACCTGATGCAAGCTGTGAAGCAATCAAGGAACACCGAGCCCCTCCCCAACGAAAAGTGTTCCTTCTTCAGCGCCCCGACTGTACAGAACATGATGGCCAGCGGCAAGCAGAGCAGTCCAGAGATCACGTGGCCTGCCAACAAGAGCGGGGAGCACCGAGGCTGCCCACGGGGCTCGCTAAGGGCGGGAGAGAAGGGGAGGACGCAGGCGACGCCAGGGCGGCGGACAACGACGACGACGGCGTGGACGACGGGGAGGGCAACGAGGGGAGCAGGAGGACACCGAGCAGGAAGACAAGCACATGGACGAGGAGGACGAGGTGAAGGAGGACGAGCACGAGCAGAAACGAAGAGGAGGAGGAGGAGGAGGAGGAGGAGGAGGAGGAGGAGGAGGAGGAGGGCGACGACGACGACGACGACGACGAAGGAGGGCGGTAAGGAGAACGAGGATAAGGACTTTCGAGGCTACCCTGGGGGCTGTTGGGGCCGTCTGGGGCTATCTTGGGGGCCTCCTCTTGGGGGCTACTGGGGTCTTCCTGGGCTGACTGGGCGTGTCTTAGGGTTCTGTGGGGGCTCTCTCAGGCCGTCGTGGCGCCATCTTGGGCAATGGCATGCAGAACATGATGGCCAGAAGGAAAAAATCAAAAGAACACAGAATCCGCCACCATGCCTTTAGCAAGTGCCCAGAAAGCTCATACAGATGTGACGGCGGAAGGGTTGCAGGATTCCTGCAAGCCTGGACCACCCATTTGCCCAAATTCTCGGTTGCTTCTTCCGCTTGCCGTGTAGGCCTCTCTGAGGCCCAACCCGCCCAACCCGACTCGAACCTGCCCCTGGAGCCTTCCAAAAGACGGTCGTCGCCCTGAGGGGCCGTCCTGGGACTCCCTGGCGGCATCTTGGGCCGTCTTGCAGGCCCTCGGGGCTGACCCAAGAGGACAGGCATTGAACAATGGAACACGCCAGAATGAGATTCGCACGCATGGCCTCTTGGTTGTTTGGGCGTCTAGGACGGCCCAAGAGGCCCCAAAGAACTCCATAGATGGCCCCCGAAGCCCTCAAGAGGTACCCTATGGGCCACGAAACCTTGCACCAGGTGGGGGAAACGCATGTGGGCTTTGCCACAGGGGCCTGCGGTGGAGGTCCCCATGGGGCTACGAAGCGCTGTGCTGGGTAGGGGGAGACGCGTGAGGACTGTGCCATTGGGACCTTCGATGGAGCTTCCCACGGGGCCACGAAGCGCTGCACTGGGTGGGGAAGACGCATGCGGACGCTTCCACTGGGGCCTTCGGTGGAGCTCCCTATGGGGCCACGTGCTACTGAGGCCTTCGGTGACGTTCCCTTTTAGGGCCAAGAAACGCCATGCGAACGGTGCCATGCGAACGGTGCCACTGGGTGGGAGGGACTGGGTGCCATGCGAACGGTGCCACTGGGTGCCACGAAACGCCATGCGAACGGTGCCATGCCATGCTGTACTGGGTGGGAGGGACGCCATGCGAACGGTGCCACTGGACCTGCCGGTGGAGCTCCCTGTGGGCCCACGAAGCGGTGTACTGGGTGGGGGGGGCGGATGCGGGCGGTACCACTGGGACCTTCGGTGGAGCTCCCCACGAAACACTGTACTGGGTGGGGGGGACGCATGCGAGCGGTAGCACTGGGGCCTTCGGTGGAGCTCCCTACGGCCACGGCCCACGAAGCGCTGAGCTAGGTAGGGGGGGGGGGATGCATGCGGGCGGAAGCAGTGGGATCTTCGGTGGAGCTTCCTGCGGGGCCACAAAACGCTGTACTGGGTGGGGTGCGCATGCGGGCGGTAGCACTGGGATCTTCGGTGGAGCTCCCTATGGGGCCGCAAAGCGCTGTACTGGGGGGGGGGGGGACGCATGCGGGCGGTAGCAGTTGGACATTCGGTGGAGCTCCCTATGCGGCCACACAGCGCTGTAATGGCTGGGGGGGGCGCATACGGGCGGTAGCACTGGGATCTTCGGCGGAGCTCCATACGGGGCCACGAAACGCTGTACTGGGTGGGGTGGACGCATGCGGGCGGTAGCACTTGGCCCTTCGGTGGAGCTCCCCATGGGGCCACAAAACGTGTGAGGGGTGTGCCAAAGTGAGGGGGGGGACGGGAGGCGGGAGGAGGAGGCGGGAGGGAGAGAGGGACGCGGGGCGCTGTCTCTTCAAAACAAAGACCCAACACAACAGGATGGTTGGGGGGAAAAGAGAATGAAAAAACGCGGGGCGCTGTCTCGTCAAAACAAGGACCCAACACCACATAATGGATGGGAGACAATGGAAAAAACAGAGGAGAAGAGAGAGAGAGAGGATGAGGAGATGATGAGGAGACACTGGGGTCAGCAGGAAAGAGAGGCGCTGGACAAACCCAAGAACAGCATCAGCATGGCAGGCGTTACTCCGCTTGGTATCCCGTCGTCGCGCTAACACGTTTGCCAACCTCAAAACGGCCCTCGCGCAAACCCATCGGAAACTGAGTAAGAGCCGTCCTTTGAGACAGCAGTAACTGTTCATGCCAGGGTAGCCGTTGGCCGCGGTGCCCTCCAGGATGTACTGCCACGACCTTGGCGTCCTCCGGCTCTGCCCCATCGCAAGAAGTGCGCACGACGACCGAAGAAAAGGCGCAGGCAATCTGCTCCGAACGCGGATGCTTCTACCCTCTCGACGGACAACATGGTTTGGGCGCCCGAGTTATCCGGGGTAACTCGGGTCCGGGGTAACGCGGGTTTGGATTCCCGAAAAACGAACCCGAGTTAGCCCTGACCCGAGTTACCCCTGATGATTTGGGGCTCTGGATGCCCGAGTTATCGGGGGTAACTCGGGCCCGGGGTAACTCGGGTTCGGAGTCCCGAAAAGCGAACCCGAGTTAGCCCTGACCCGAGTTACCCCTGATGATTCGGGGATCTGATTGGTCTGGATCACCGGGAACGAAAAGATACAAATGCCACGCGGCTGCCAATGCGCTGGGTCAGACCCCGGCGCAGACGATCACCGACTGGGGCCGTGGCAGGCACTGCGGCCACAGTGCCGCGCATGTCTCGCAGCACGACGCCGCGTTGTCCACCTCGCGGCAGCCCTGGTGGCTGGAACCGAAGCTCGAGAAGTCCACCGCGATGTTGGCTCC